TCCTTCTGTCTTTTCCATTTCTGGGTTGTTTTGTGGTATTTTGTTCTCATTACTTCCCTGTATTTAACATTAAGATTCAAGAGGAAAGATTAGTGGGCCAGTGCAGAGCAGACTTCCTCTATAGATCTGTGTCCTCTTCAATCGAACATCATGCCAGTCCCTATGAGGCTGTTAAAAAGTTTGCTAAGTTTCTGCTGCTTTCTCTTTACCCCCGCACTTGTGGATCTTCCAGCAGAGTCTAGTCAGGAATACGTGCAGCTATTCATCTCTTCTGTTCCACAAAAGTCTATAAATACTCTCTGGTGTTCAGCTCATTTACATTTCTCTGAGTCTTCAGCTTTGGGATGAGTCAGTTGTATTTTTAAAGTTCTCGCTACCCTGGCCTTTCTTCTACTTCTTTTTTATGTTTGTACATGTTCTGCTATGATGTCTTCATTATAAAGAAGAAAAAAATGGTTGTAACTGGTTTTAAAAGGCACTCTGGTGGCAAAGTCTGAAGCATGTTTTGCTTCAAACCAAAAGGCATTTCACCTCCAGGGGTTCAAATCCACCAATGGCTCCAACAAAATGGGAAAACTTCTGTTAAGATTTTCCCTCAGAAACCAGAAGGAATATCACTGTCTGTCAAGGAGGACTTGATAGCAATGAATTTGATAATTTGAAAAATTAGAAAAATACATCAGTAATGCAAAATTTTGTAGAATGCAAAATATTGGGTGACACCTGCACCCACAGGACCTACCTTAGTGTGGAATGAGGACATTGAATGTTAAAAAAGATATAAATATTCATGAATAAACTATTCAAGAGAAAGGAAATAAAAATGACTCTTAAATATATGAAATCACTTTTCATGGGAGAGACAGGCTGCAGAAAGCAAGCAAAATTAGGTTTCCAACAGATAGCACTTTATCTCTTTCACAGTGACAAAACCAAAAAAAATTCATAGTTGTGAATAAATATGCATTCTTTATCCATGACTACTGGGAATATGAACTGATACAACGTCCTTGGAAACTGGTTTGGCAGAAATTGTCAAATATAAAAAGGCACAAAATCCTTTAGTTCTAATATTTTAATTCTAGGAATTTATTCTAGAAGCGTGAATATGTCAAATGAATTCTAGACAAAGGTAGCATGTTTTCTAATAGCCATAGGCTGAATTACAACCCAATTGCCCAACATTGGGGACTAAATAAATTTTGAACTATGCAACATGAAAATGACTCATGAACTCAGAAGGATCACCTTGAAACATTACTAAAAAAATTCCATGAAAAAATCCAAATATAGCATCTGTAGTAATAAAAGTAGGCAAAAGTAAAAAAGGAATATTATCTATGTAATAGTGTTTAGGCTCAGAAATACCTCTGAAAGCTTATTCAGGATGCTAGGAGTGGTTGCTTCTGAGGAGGAGCTCTAAGCAAATGAGCAGGAGGGCAAAGAATTTGAACTCTGTATCTTTGGTACAATTTGTAGTTTTTATCACATAGATATGTTTAGACTTTCTCAAGAGTAGAGACAAGCATAAATAACTGATAACAACAACATAACTATGTTGTTGTTGTTGTTGTTATGTGCCGTAGAGTCACCTGCGACTCATAGTGACCCTATGTACAAAAGCCCTAAACTCCGCTCTGTCCTGTGCCAATCGCACTGTCTCCGACACTCCCATCCCAATTATCCCAATCATAGAATTGTGATAAATGCTAAGGAGGAGTAAGAACAAATAACAGGGACTTCTAATCTAGTCTTGTTTGGCCAGGGCTGTTTCCCCTAAGCAAGTAATTTTGAAAATGAGATCTAAAAGACAGGGTATCAGCTTGAGGAAGGTTGTGAAGAGCTCTAAGGCAAAGAATGAGCTTGTTCAAAGGCAATGAGGATGGAAGAAGTTGGTCAATTTGGAATATAGAAAGAAGGCCAGTTGACTGGAGAAGAAAAAATGTGAGCAGCCTTGGTTGCTATAGTTGAAGCAGCAGGGGACTTACGGGTCCTATGGGTGCAGGTGCCACCCAAAACTTTGGGTTCATCCCACACTCAAATGCCGAGACATGCTAACTGACTGGTTGGTTCAGGGTTAGACAACTGCTTCTTGGTCTATAGTTTTCACACGACCACAACAAGTGTTTGAGGATACCCATTCTTCTTAATGTTAGCCATAATTGTTTATGATACACAGAGTCAAATTCCTTTGTCAAATTCAGGGTTCAAAATTGGGAAGGGTGTACACCAGGGATGTATTCTGTCTCCATACCTTTTCAATCTATATGCAGAACAGATCATCTGGGATGCTGGGCTGTAAGAGGAATGTGGCATTAGGATTGGAGGAAGATTCATTAACAACCTGCGTTATGCAGATGACACAATCCTGCTTGCTGAAACCTGAAGAGCTTGCTACAGAAGGTCAAGGACTGCAGCCTTCAATATGAATTGAAGCTCAACATCAAGAAAACAAAGATTCTCACCACTGGGCCACTTGGCAGCATCCATATGGATGGTGAAGAGATGGAGATTGTTAAGTTTTAGTTTACTTGGCTCCACAGTAAACACTCTTGGTACCAGCAACCAGGAAATCAAGAGACGAATTGCACTGGGAAAGCTGGCTTTCAGCGACCTCTCCAGGGTACGGAAGAGTAATGATTTCAGGTGGAGACTAAGATGTGCCTGATCCACGCCATAGTCTTCACAATTGCTTGCTATGCATCGGAGAACTGGACAATGACTAAGTATGATAGAAAGAGAACTGACGCCTTTGAGCTGAGGTGTTGGAGAAGAGTGTTGAATATATTATGGCCTGCTAGGAGAACAAACAGGTTCATCTTAGAGAAGGTGAAACCAGGCTGCTCCTTGGAGGCAAGGATTATGAAGCTTCATCTGAGATATTTTGGACATGTTACAAGGAGGGACTGGTCCTTGGAGAAGGATTTCATGATTAGGAGGATGCAGAGACAGTGCAGAAGAGGAAGACCCACCAAGAGATGGATTGATTCAATCACTGGGGCTTTGGAAGTATGTGTGTCAGAGACAAAAAGGTTGGTATAGGATAGAGCAGGGTTTAAGGCTCTTGTACGTAGTGTCACTATGACTCGCAAGCGACTTGACGATGGCACATAACAACAACAACCAGTCAATAAAACAAACATCTTTCTGGTATCCTTAGCTTTCAGCCAAGATCCATCTGACATCAGCAATGATATCTTTTGTGCAACACCCTCTTCTGAATGCAGCTTAAATTTCTGGCAGTTCCTTGTTGATGTGTTGCTCCAGAGATAATCTTTAGCAGTATTTTACTTCCATATAACAATAATGCTATTTTCTATAATCTTCATACTTTTGAGTTACCTTATTTGGAATTGGAACAAATATAAACCACTTCCAATCAGCCAAGTAGCTGTCTCCCAAATTTCTTGGAATAGGCTAGTAAGCATGTCCAGAGCTGCATCTGCTGAAACAGGTCAATTGGTATTCCACTAATTCCTGGAGCCTTATTTTTTGCCAGTGCCTTAGAGCAGCTTGAACTCTTCCTTCATTACCATTGATTTATGATCATCTGCTACTTCCTGAAATGGTTGTGTTTTTATACAGTGACTCCATAGTCCTTCCGTGTGTTTTGTTTTGGTTTTTTTAAAAAAATTTTATTATTTTTGTGTGAGTGTACCATCATAACAGATCTGACTGGTACAGGAGGAGATTGTCCCTCCTTCTCTGGCACAGCATCTGGTGGACTCAAACCTTGCACCTCTGGGATTGTAGTTGCAGCTCCTTGCCTCTAGGCCACCAGAGCTCCCCTTCCCGTTTTCTTTTGAGGTTTCCTGAATCATTGAAGAAAACAAAAATTCTCATCACTGGACCAATAGACAACAAAATAGATGGTGAAAAGATTGAAGTTGTCAACATTTAATTTTGTGTGAATCCACTATCAATAGCCATGACGACAGCAATTCAAACATCAAAAGACATATTGCATATGGCAAAATCTGCTGTCAAAACCTCTCCAAAGACTTAAGAAGCAAAGACATTGTGCTCGCTTCGGCAGCACATATACTAAAATTGGAAAGATAGAGAAGATTAGCATGGCCCTTGAGCAAGGAAGACATGCAAATTCATAAAGCGTTCCTTTTTTTTTTTTTAAAAAAAAAAGAATGAATTTAAAAACTAAGATGTGCCTGATCCAAGATACAATCGTTTCAATTGCTGCTTCCTGTGTATCTGAAAATTGGACAATGACTAAGGATGACAAAAGAATCGTTATCTTTGATTATTGGTGTTGGAGGGCTTCCAAAACACCAAACAAGTCTCTCTTGGAAGAGCGGAAACCAGAGTGGTCCTTAGAGTCAGGAATCTTTAGGCATGTTTTCAGGAAGGGCTAGTGCAGAAAAAGACGTGCTGGTAAAGGTCAGAGAAAGAGAGGAAGGCTTTCAACAAGATGTTTTGACACTGTATAACCATGTAAGGATTATAGAAGTAGAATCGATGCCTTTGAGTTGTGGTGCTGGAGAAGAGTATTGAACATACTTTGGACTGCTAGAAGTAAAAGCAGGTCTGTCCTGGATAGGGTGAATCCAGGCTGCTCCTTGGAGGCAAGGATTTTGAGGCTACGTCTGACATACTTTGGGCACAAGGCCAGGAACGTCCAGTCCTTGGAGAGGGACATCATGCTTGGGTGGAGGGAGAGGTAGGTGAGGAAGACCTTGGATGACACAGATTGACTCAGTGACATGGGGCAGGTAGTCGGAGACAGTGTGATTGGATCAGCATAGAGCAGGGCTTGATCGTGCATAACCACCAGCACCAGCCGCACCACCACCACCACCACCACCACCACCACCACCACGGTTTGGCGATTCTGAGATCGAGAGGAAGGGATAGAATAGGAGGAGGTTTGGATCTACTGTTCACACAGTCACTAGGAGACCTAGTCCACTTGACATCACCAAACAAGTGCTTCAGACTCCTCCCCAAATCCTCCAATTCCGACTTCCGTTTTCCTGGTCGTCTGGGACACTTCGACTTCCGTTCGCGCAGCAGTGGGCGGAGCCAAGATGGCTGAGGACGGACTCGGGATGGTGAGCGTGATAGTGTTTAGTGGTGCTGGGCCGGGGGTCGCGAGCGTGATAGTGTTTAGTGGTGCTGGGCCGGGGGGTCGGGGAGGCCGGCTGGTAGGCGCTGGGCTGGTAGGCTCGGGTCTGAGTTCCTCGCGGCCGCTGTCCGGGACACGCGGAGCTCAGTCTAGAGCCGCTCGGGGTGGGTGCAGCGACGCGACCCCGGGCTCCGGGGGACCGGTCAACCGGGCGAGTGTGAATCTCCTCCGCTGCTTCTGATCTAGGAGTGCGGTCCAAGCGGAACAGCGAGATGTTAATCAGAAATGGCTCTTTCTCACTCATTTGGTTTGGCATGATGAAGGCAAACCCCCTTACGTAGAGACGATTTCTGTTAATCCCCTGGATTAAGAATTTATCAAAGCCTGGAAGTTCTTAGAATCACACTGCGTTCAGCAAGTGGGATGAGACCATGTGTCGTCTTTTGTGAAAAATAATTCCTTTAGGATTCCCCTAATACAGGAGTTGTTGTTATGTGCCATCGAGCCGCACATAACAACTCATATATTACAACAGCTCTGAACCCTACTCTATCCTGTGCCAACCTTATTGTCCCTGACACACCTACCCCATTACCTCTGTCACTGAGTCAATCCTCAACGAGGGTCTTCCGCTCTTGCTTTGTCCCTCCATCCTTCTAAGCATGACTTCCCTTCCCAAGGACTAATTCCTCCGAGCAACAAGCCCAAAGTATGTGAGACGGAGCTTCAGAATACTTGCCTCCAAGGAGCAGCCTGATCTCACCCTCTCCAGGAGGACCCTATTTGTTCACTTAGCGATCCATGGTATATTCAACACTCTTCTCCAGCACCACAGCTCAAAGGCATCAATTCTCCTTCTGTCATCCCTCGTCATTGTCCAGCTTTCTGATGCACAGCACATAATAGCGAAGACCATGGCCTGTATCAGGCGCACCTTAGTCTCCAGCCTGATGTTGTTGCTCTTTAGTACTCTGGAGAGCTCCCTGACAGCACACTTTCCAAATGTCATTTGTCTTTTGATTTCTTGGCTGTAACAAGAGTGTTGCTTGTGGAGCCAAGCAAACTAAAGCTGTTAGCAATCTAAATCTCTTCACCATCTATCATGATGTTACCCGTTGGCCCAGTGGTGAGAATCTTTGTTTTCTTGTCTTTGAACTTCAGTCCATATATATGAATTAGGCATTGAGTAAACTCTGCAGAACTGCTCGAGTAAATTCAGATAACCAATAGATGCTTCAGATAGTAAATTTTGAGATGGATAGTAGTATCCATAACTAATATACTTGTAAAAATTCCCAAGTGTGAAATCTTATCTAGCTTGTGCTTAGCATTCAGTTTTTCATAGCACATTCTATTGTTAGAATAGTGATTTATTAGGAATTTATTGCCCTTTGAAAAACTCACTGGGACATACAGAAGATAAAAATATAGTAGCTTTTGACTATGTGACAGTTTCATTTTGGCTAACAGAGCAAGCTCCCTTTTTCCTTTCTTTGTACAGTAAGTTTTTGAGTTAAGAATGGTTGATTTATCAGTCTTTTTTTAAAAAAAATGTAAATTTTTTAATAGCATATTCTTCCCACTTAATTTCCCCCTATTCATTCATTGTTGCACATTTTCCTCCCTGGCCACCCCTCCCCCTAGGTCACTTTTCTCTTTGAAAAGAAAAAAAATCTTTCATTATGCAATCCCTGCCCCCAGAGTCCACAGCCTACTTTACTATGCATTTCTTTTTCTGGAATCTTGTCATGAAAATAATACTTAATCATATATTTCTTTTAAACAGTTCTCTCCCTCATCAGTTTCAAAGCAGTATACAGTATTTATCCCCTCTTTTCTTAGGATTCCCCCCAATTCTGATTTCAGTCCCGTATTACAACAGTGGCACCATTCAGTATTTGGCCTTTTTTGACTAAGATACTTCAGTCAGCATAATGTCCTCCAGGGTCACCCATTTTGTATAATAATTCATGAGTTCCTTGTTTTTCAATGCAGCATAGTATTCCATTGTGTGAATAAACCACAGCTTCTCTACCCATTCGTTTGTCGGTAGGCATTTGGTTCATTTCCAACTCCTTGCTGTTGTGAACAAAGAAGCAATAAACGTTTGTGCATGATTTATCAGTCTCTTTTTCCTCTTTTTTTATTATTATTAATTTTAATGAACATCTACAGAGACTTTAGATTTCCATTCATTCATTGTTGCACTTTTCTTCCTGCCCAACCTCCCCCCTAGTTTGCTCTTCTCTTTGAAAAGTAAAAGAAAAAAATCTTTCATTGTTATACAATTCTTCCTCCTAAGTCCACTCTGCAATGTAGCCTTCGTTCTGGACTCCTGTCATGATGAAAATACCTAATCATATATCCCTTTTAAACATTTCTTTCTCATCCGTTTCAGTGCAGTATTCCTAATTTATCCCCTCTTTCTCAGTCTTCCCCCTACCCCAATGTCAGTCCTGTTTTACAACAGTGGCATTATGCAGTATTTGTCATTTTGTGACTGAGATATTTCACTCATTATAATGTCCTCCAGGATCATCCGTTTTGTATAATACTTCATGAGTTCCTTGTTTTTTAATGCAGTTTAGTATTCCATTGTGTGAATATACCATAGCTTCTCTGTCCATTCGTTTGTTAATGGGCCACATATTTGATTTTTTAATCGCTTCTTACATTGGTGCTGGGTCATAGATCCAAGTAAAATTAAATCCTTGATCAAGTCAGTATTTTCTCTGTCTTGATGTTATTGATGTATTTGTGAAGATTTTTGTTTTATTTATATTTGCATGTAGTGCATGTTGAAGGCTGCAGTCTTTGATCTTCATTAGTAAGTACTCCACATCCCCTTCTCTTACGGCAAATAAGGTTTTTCCATTTGAATACTGTACATTATTGAGTCTACCTCCCACCGTGATAACTCCTTCTTCATACAGTACACATTATACAATATTAATAGTTTGGATATCAAAAGTACAACTTAGCGAGCTCTGGAGGCCTAGTGGCAAGACGCTGCACTGCAATCCCAGAGGTACGCGGTTCAAATCCACCAGATGCTCTGCTGGAGAAGGAGGGGGCAGTTTCCTCCTGTACCAGTCAGATCTGATTTGATGGTATACGTAAAATAATACAATAAAATAAATAAATAAAAAAAAAGTACAACTTGAGATTGGAGTCTTATTTTATGTAAGTATTTTTCTGATGGGTGGAGAGACAGTTTTTTAAGAAGAATCACATTTCACTATGTCTGTGTTCAGAATAACTCTGAACTACTCTGCAGTTCACAGATTCTTTCGTGAGCTACTGTTTATTCTTGGTGTTCGAATGCTGCTTATGTTAGAAAGTCATACGATGCTTTAACATAGACTTCTGTCATTTCAGAGAACACAGCTTCCTGCATCTGTTGAATCTCAGAAACCTCGTCTGAAAAAAGGTCTGTATAGTAATTTTAGTGTTAAGTGCGTATTGTTCTTTGTCTTACTGATTTTTTTTCTATTCTGTAGGCATTAAAGGGTGATATGGTGAGGATAGGGCAGGGTTCAGATCTGTTGTTTATAGTGTTGCTATGAGTCAAACCTCACTTGGCAGCACCTAACACCAGCAGCAGCAGTAGCAGCTGGTGACATAGTCCATAGGGAGCTGTATTGCTAATCCAGAAGCTGCATGTCTCTGGTGGCTTGGATCCATCAGTGGCTCCTGGGCTAATCTCTTCCCTTGTGATTTACCTGCTTTTAAAACCTGCTGGAGGGTCAGCTGTCAGCTCTGAATTGGATCTGACTTGATTTCAGTGAGTTTGAGGGTTTTTTTAAATAGAAACTAAAACTTTTTTATTTTATTTTATTATTTTTGTGTGCGTGTACCGTTAAATCAGATCTGACTGGTACAGGAGGAGATTGTCCCTCCTTCCCCGGCAGAGCATCTGGTGGATTCGAACCGTGAGCCTCTGGGATTGTAGTTGCAGCTCCTTGCCACTAGGCCACCAGAGCTCCCCAGAAACTAAAACTTTTTAAAAAATATATTAAGAAACTCTTCTGTATTAACTGAAGTTTTTAAATAAAGTATGCATTGTTTTTATAGAAAAATGTTATATTCTAAAAAGAAATCAGAAGCCTCAAGATGATCCTGTAACTAGTAATTATACTTGTCAGAATTATTGTAAGGGGATCAGTTAAGATTGCAAGTACAAATGTTCATTTTTATGTTCCTATTAGAAATGAAAAAATTAAGTGTCTAACAATAAAGAAGTTAGATGATTGTTCTCATAAAATGAAATAATACATGATCTTTTAAGAATAATAACACAATATTTATCACATTGTTAAAAGGTTTCAAATTACATGTCTTATGATTTGTTTTTATAGAAATGTATAAGTTGAGACCATAATATTCTGAAAATGTAATTTTCTCTTCTCTAAGACAAATTCATATATGTGGGTATATAGGAATATATTATCATTGTTGTTAAGTGCCCTCAAATCTAGTGTAACACATAGAAACCCTATAAACAATTGGACTGAACTCTGTCCCATCCTGTGCCATCATCATCTCTGACACAGTTGAGCCTCTAGTTCCAGTCATGTGTCAATCCATCTTGTTGAGGGTCTTCCTCTCATTCACTTTCTAAGCATGATGTCCCTCTCCAAGGGGACAAATGAGTCCCTGACTGATAAAAAGCTTGCAATTTAAAATGTCTTACTACGTTTATGTTCTTTTCAAGATTTGTATCCTTTGACACACTAAATATTGTGGTTAAAAGTGTATTATAATCCACCAGATGCTCTGCCGGGGAAGGAAGGACAATCTCCTCCTGTACCAGTCAGATCTGATTTGACAGTACACTCATAAACAATTAATAAAAATTTAAATTTTTTTTTAAAAAGTGTATTATAATTCTCATTTGTCATACTAGCAAGACCCAGAGTATGAGATGAAGTTTCGCCATCCTTGTCTCCAAGCAGCACTCTAGTGGTAAGGAATTGTGCTGTCAACCCACAGGCATGCAGTTTGAATCCTCCCGTTGTTCCACAAGAGAAAGATGAGAAATCTCCTCCTGTGCAATCGGGTTCAATTCAGTCTCTTCTTTCATCATCATTTTTGTCCTTGTTAATGAAAGTTGACATTTCTGCCCATCCTGTTCCCATTTTCCCATTACACACTCTTCCCTTCTCTACTTTGTATTGTGAGGCAAAACAATCCTTTTCAAGCTCCTGTGACAGCAGTTTTGTAGCTCTGGTGGCCTAGGGGCAAGAAGCTGCACTGCAATCCCGAAGGCACGCAGTTTGAGGCCATCAGCTGCTCTGCAGGAGGATAGGCAGTCTCCTCCCATGCACTTAACTGCTTCTGAAAACCCACTGGAAGGTCAGCTGTGGTCCAATTCTGACTCTGTGGTGCACAACAACAACATGACAGCAATTTCTGGCTTAGTGGGAAGTACTAGCAAGACTAGGGGGCTAGAGAAAACAGAACATTTCCTACCTTCCTGGATGCTGAGACAGTCAAGGAGCAGGGGAGCAGTCTCTGGCAGCTCATCTTCTGTTGCTCCTGCTCCCACTGGTAAGGCCTGTCTTGTTTTCAGCTTTCTCCGTGTAATTCCAGCCCAGATACCGGTGCGGCATCTCTTCCCCCATTGTCCCCTTGACTGGGCCGTGGCTCCTGATAGCCCAACCTCTGGCTTGTCCCATGGTTTCCTGTTGAGTCTCTTTTCTTTCCTCACCTGCACACTGCACAGAGTTCTCCGTCTTCAGTCCTCAAAAGGTTTCTGTGTTCCTGCTCGGACCCTGACTGATAAGAGAGCTCACAGTTTAAAACGTCTTACTACATTTATGTTCTTTTCAAGATTTGTATCTTTTGACACCCCAAATATTGGGGTTAAAAGTGTGTTATTATTTTCATGTCATGAGGACATTCACATTCATTGGCTGTGCACTTTGAGAGTTTTTATAATTTTCCAGTGAAAGTTAAAAGGGGGAAATGAAGACTCCAAGAAGATAAGTATTGCCGGATGCTCTACTGAAGAAGGAGGGACAATCTCCTCCTGTACCAGTCAGATCCGATTTGACAGTACACACATTAGTAATAATAATAATAATAATAATAATAAAAAAGTTAAGTATTTTGTCCTAAGTCTTATAGAAAACTGGGCTGGTGTAAAATACAAATACTATAAATAAATAAAAAAAACACCTTGTTCTTATGTGCACGTTAGCCTTAAAAGAGTTATTTTAGTAAAGACGGCTTTAAGTTACATTGTACTTATAAAGACTTTGACATATTAGAAAAAATTTCAGCTAAAAAGTCACCACCACAATTTTGAGCGTAGCCATCACAGAGCTGGGACTTAACTGTTCCCCAGTTAGTATCAGTGAGCCATTAACAGAGATTTGAAGTAGACCAATTCCTCATAGACCTGAGGAGTTTACTCACTTGTGAAATGACTTAAGTCACGTGCTTCCTTGGAAGGGAAAAGCAGCCAGGGATGTCACAAAAAGAGTAGAAAGAAGGGTTATCAGGTAACCAATGTTCCACTCAGATGCCCCGGTGATGGTGACACTGGCAGTGTGGGATCTGGACACATGAACTTGTTGAAGACATCACTTTGTAGTGATAAGCTTTAAGCTGTCACCTGACTCTTGTGTTTGGGTAGCACTGAATCTCCAGTCTCACCTTGGCTTTCCATAAGCAAGAGGAGGCTCTGCATATTACACGCTTGTCGTTTTGAAGAGTCTTTGAAATATGCAGTTCCCGTAATCTCTGCAGAAGCACATAAGAACTAGTTCTCTCATTGACAGGGGAAGTTGGAGTGAGCAGACAATGATTTTGAAATTAAGAAATTCAATTTATAAAGGTAAAATTCCAACTGTAAATTCACATTTTGTAGATGAAGAGGTTTCTAAGATATTTGGAATTGCTAGATAATAATGCTGTTAAAAATAGCAGTAATAGCAGTAGTTGATTTTAATACATGCTTAATATCGACCAGCCACTTTTTGAACCACTTGTTATCCTCACAACACTATAAGGATGGGTATTTTATTCCCTAACTTCTTTTAAAGTTGTCTTCCTTTATCTCTGCAGTTCCTCTTCCCTTGATTTATTTTTTTCCACACAAAGATAGCAAATGGAAATACATGTAACAGATTACTATGCTGTTTATCTCTGCCTTCTGCTAGCACCCCAATCTGTTTTCCCAAATACACTTCTTGAAGCTCCATGAAACTAGGGAATCTGTTTTGCCGCCTGTGTATCCCCAGTACCTAGAACAGTACTGGACACGTGGTCGTGGTTAGTGCCATCAAGTTGACTATGACTCATTGTGTCCCTTGGAGCAACAGATCTGATCCTAGCCCCATCCCGAGCCATCCTCACCATCTCATAAACTCTAGCCCATTGTTACAGTCACTGTCTTTGCATCTCATTGAAGGCCTTCCTCTCTTTCTCTTACCTTTCCAAGCATGTTGTCCATTTCCAAGGGCTGGCCCCTCCTGATGACGTGCCCAGAGTATGTGAGACAAAGTTACTCTCCTTGCCTCTAAGGAGCACACATGGTAGGTACTCAGTATTTGTTGAGTGAATCTCCATTTTACAGTTGGGGAAACTTAAGTTTCCCAAGATCACACAGCTGGTACTAGAGCACGGAAATGTTTTTTGTGTGTGTTGGAGTTATTTTAGCCTTTTTGACAATCTACATCTCTAGGTTGAGATGCGACTTAGCACTTAAATTTGGAGGTGCATTTCCCTCCTTTGAGTCCTAATGTTAGGGCCTAGCCTAGGTTGAATATCCAACCTGTATAATATAGGTTGATTATAACAATAAAGGAAGCACAGGCTTACTTGTGCTTGTTAATCTGTAAAGAACAATTTTACATTTTCTTCACATCGCAGATTCTCCTTCTAGATATTGATGGCATCTACTTTCTCTCAGCAGTGTTCTACAGAATCAAAGGCACTTTTCAAATACACAGTCCCTGTCTGGGACAGAAGACCTGTAAGCAAATCAAACATGAGTTTCTTTACTTTAGTGAACAGGTGAAAAGCATGAACAGCAGATTGGTAAATAAACACAGGTAAGCCTGTGCTTACCCTGCTTGCTAGTTAATCCGCCTCTGTGCTTTAGCCCTTGAGCTCCCATACAGATTTTCAGGTTCATTTTTTGTATTCTTCACTCAAGAAACAGAAAATCTAACCTGTCTTTTTGTGAGATTTTAATAACAAAGAAGACTTAGAATTTTGCATTTTATACATTTTCTTCTGTGATATAAAAACAGTGACACTATATTATGAGCTGAAGAGGGTCATTGCCTCCTCTTTTACTTTGGTGGCTAGGTGACACAGGGCTACAGTACAGAATTGCATCTTGGTTCATGGTGATTCAGTAAGTCACTTGTTCTCCCCAGACTATTCCTTCGGCGTGTTTTTTTATACATATGTCCTTAATCTTGGTGATTTGTTTGGCTTTCAGGGGGAAATTTCATTCTGGAAGTAATTAGGCAGATAATCAGTGGCTTAAGATTTGATGATTATGAGGGTAAGAGGAAGGAGTGAAAGCGTAGAGCATTTCTGGTATCTCTGCTGACCAAATGAAAGGTGTTGTACTAAGAGAATTTGGGCAATTGGGAGGTCACAAGAGGTCAGTTCCTTAAATCATCTTTTTTTCCTTCTCAGCATATATTAAACATAATCATACTTTCTGTTTAAATTTCACTTTACAAAATCCCCTCTTCTTAGAGACTAGCAAACAGCTTTACTTTTTAATCTTTGCATTCAGACAGCATATCATAGTAATCTTTTTCTTGTCATATTAAGGACAGAGAAGTCTTAGATTTTCTTCTGGTTGTTTCTTCTAAGTATTTAGAACAGTAAAAAGAATGATAATTTTCTTCTCTTTGCTACTATACTCATTCTTTTACATTTTTAAAAATCAGAGACTATCTCAAACAAAATATAGGAGATAATTGTACAGAAGACATCATGTACTCACTGGTCATATGCGCTAAATATAAACATTCTACTTGTTTGTATGTGACTGCTTTCCCCTCTTTCTACATCTCGGGATCATCAGCCTTAGATTTCAGGTAATTTTGTCATTGGGTAGACATGACACATGAAGAACTCTTCTCCCCTCGGTGCTAAGTTCTTTTAGTTCTTTCAAAACAAATTAAACCCAACCAACCAAAGGCAAAACACAAACTCATTGTCATTGGGTTGGAACCAACTCGTAGCTGACCCTCCCATGGGTTTTCAGAGGCTGTTAATTGTGAGGAAGGAGATTGCTCATCTTTCTCCTGAGAAGTGTCTAGTGGATTCAGACCATCTGCCTTTGGACTGGCAGCATAAATCCTTACCTACCTGGGTGCCCATATTTACTTTAGACCTTTTTCGGTTTCAGAAAAGAACATGTTAGAGAAAGAATTGAAGTCTCCTTTTGTATTTTCCAAATTCCCTTCTCACCCATCTTCAGAGTCACCACTGTTCTGAGATTATTTGATGGGATTTCTTCTTGTCGTTACCATGTTGTTGTTATGTGCCGTTGAGGCGCCTGCGACTCATAGTGACCCTATCTATGTACAATAGCCCTAAACTCTGCCCTATCCTGTTCCAGTCTCACCATCTCCAATACACCTACCCCCATTACGCCAGAGACTGAATCAGTCCACCTCACAGAGAGTCTTCCCTTCCTGCGCTGTCCCTCCACCCTCTCAAGCATGATGTCCCTCCTTGCAACATGATCAGAGTTTGTCAGATAAAGCTTCAGAATCCTTGCCTCCAAGGAGCAGCCTGATTTAACCCTCTCCAGGATGAACCTGTTCTTTTTCTTAGCAGTCCATGGTATATTCAGTACTCTTCTCCATCACCACAGCTCAAAGGCATCAATTCTTCTTCTAACCATTGTCCAGCTCTCTGATGCATAGCAAGTGATTGCAAGGACCATTTTTAATGAATTTTTATCTTTTATATATTTTTTTAGATAATTTTTATTAATTTATTTATTTATTCATTCATTCATTCTTTCTTTTTATGTGTGTACTGTCAAATTGGATCTGACTGGTACAGGAGGCGATTGTTCCTCCTTCTTCAGCAGAGCATCTGGTGGATTTGAACCGCGCACCTCTGGGATTGCAGTGCAGTTTCCTACCACTAGGCCACCAGAGCTCGCCTATCTTTTATATTTTAAACCTTTGAATTTCATTGGGCAAGTAACATGGCCTCTTTCATGAGTCACTTTTTTTATTATTTTTTAATCACTTTCACTTACTCAATTTGAGGTTTTTTTAAAATTTTTGGCTTCTCTTTGCTGGACTATAGCATAAAAGTTTCACATTTCAGCTTTTTTCCCAAGTTTGTATTGAACCATTTAAAAACAATGTTATACTTTGATCAGTTTAGATCAGTATAAAACACTATGGCATTAACTATGTCATGCTTATTTCATTAGTAACATTTCTCAATTTCTTTCAGAATGTCTACTTTCTGTAATCAGAGATGGTGATAGAGCAGGAAGAGGGGGCAGAGAAGGACTTTAATTTTTTTCTGTTCAGCTGAAATTATAATTTGGGAAATTGAAAATATAAGCCACAAAAAATTCATATATCTCTTAAGTTTAACAGTCTGTAAAATTTGATTCTCTGTAATACAGTCTTCCAGTCAACAGTGTGAAGAATTTAATATTATACAGCAGTCTGCTTATTGTCAGTTTAGACACAAGGACAATGGTAATAGAGAAACTCCAGCAGTGACTGTGTTCCTTGTTTTGTCAAAATGCTGCTCAGCTCCAGAGTTTCCCATTTTGGAGAAGCAGAACTGGCTGATACATCTCTACTATATCCGGAAGGATTATGAAGCTTGCAAGGTAAGATAAAGAAAATGAAATGCAGGCTGTTGCTAGCAGTGTCTGCTGAATAGTGTTTGTGTGGCAGTTTTTGTATCACTCATAGTTTCTATTTCCCCACATTTTTATCAGCTTTTGCTATGATAATGCCAGTTAACAAACAGTAGACATTTATTTAGTGCTCATATTGGCTATGATTGTCTGGATTTAATGCAGTGCTCTGGCTGTGTTGAGAGACAGCTCAGATATGTCTCGTCTCCGCATTTGAAGCCTGGGTTGGGGTAGCAGCCACTCTGGGATGTATTGCTGGCTTGGTGCCAGGCAGATGCTCATCATAGCATTTCATCTGACAGTTAGATCTTTGGTTAAGTGACAAGTGGTATCCATTGTGTATATGATAGATTTCTCTTATAGGTGAGGTCAGTCATCATTTACTTTCTTAAATACCATTTGTATTTCTTTTTCTATTAACTACTGTGTCTTTGATAAAAGTACAATATTGGCCTAGTGGGCAAGGTGGGTGATTTTAATCTGCGGCCCTCAGGCCTGGTTCAAATTGGTTTTTTGTCAAACATTCTTCTACGTGGTATAGCACTGGTCTGTGCATTGCTGTACAGAGGTAACTTGTGGTTGCTGTGATGCTAAACACTGTGACACTGATGTGCCAAATGTGATAGTAGTTACCAATGGTGGACAGTGTTTGGTGGAGCTTCCCAATTAAAACAAGCTTGGATGCTGGAGTGGCATCCACTTCTGAGATGGCTTGCTTCCGGAAACTTTATAAACAGTGCTCAGTCCTTTTGTTCACAGGTCTCTATGAGTCGTCTACAACTCGACACCACCTAACAACAACAGCAACAATATGTTATTTACTTCCTGGCAGACAGTACCTTCTTTTGCAGAGTGTATCTTTGGTATTGGCTTTAAGGAAGGAGAAAAAAAAATAGTGATATTTAGAGCTTTGTAATACTTCTCAGCTTGTCATTTTTCATTCATCCTTGTGGTATGTATAGCTTGAGAAATGGAAATAAAAACCACAAAAACTCAAAGGAAGCATATGCTCATGATGCATATGCTGTGTGTGCAAACATTTTTTCTTTAATTTTATCTATTTTATTGTTGCTGTTGAAAATACACAAAGCACATACCAATTAAACTTGGTTTCTACATGCGCAATTTAGTGACACTGATTATTTATATTCTTCAAGTTGTGCACCCCTACTTAACTCCTTTTCTTGAGTTGTATCTCCCTCATGAACATAAATCCACTATTTAAAGACTCCTTTCTGATCTCCTGAGTTGCTGTTATCCACTTGAGCCCATAATGATAGTTCTTAAAAGAGCAGGATGATAAGGGAGCTCTGGTGGCCTAGTGGCAAGAAGCTGTACTGCAATCCCACAGGCACATGGTTCTAATCCACCAGAGGCTCTGCTGGAGAAGGAGGGGCAATCTCCTCCTGTACCAGTCAGATCTCATTTGATGGTACACACACAAAAAAACAATAAAAGAGCATGATGCTCAAGGCAGATATTTTTTATTAGGTAAATGACTGTTGAGTCTTAAAAAGACTTCAAGGGATACTTTTGGTTTAAGATTTAAAGATTATCTCAGGACAGTAGTTTCAGGAAGGATTTTATCCTCCTGGCTCCAAAAAGTGCAGAGATCATGAGAATTTGAAAAACTGCTTTCTGTTTTGATCAAAATGTTCAGTAATGGTAACCAGGAACCATCCAGGTCCTTTATCTATTGATACTGTGTTGATTGAGTATCTAGTTGTTTTAATTATAAAACAAATAAACAACTTGGAATGGAGTTGAGACAAATTATGCCATAAGCAGAATATCCTTTTAATTGACTAAACAAAATTTAAAAAAATAGTAACAAAAAATATTTCTGATACAGAATCAGCAATACAAAAGAACAGTGTATGAGTACCTCGATAATACACCCATTTTGCAATAGTGCAACTTTAGTACACATTTTTGACTGTCCATAGTCCATGCATAGTTACAACTCCATACTTAAACAACAACATGCTGACAGTTCCTAAAGAAAACTACTTAAAAGAAAGGCATAACCCTTTTCTTATTTGACCAACTCAGTCTAAGTTTAAATGTGCAGAAGGGCTTAGATAAATCCAGAGTAAGCCACATGCAACATGTTACTTGATCAGTTTTCTAAAATAAGTTTTCAGGACACTTGACAGTAAGATAAGGGAAGCAAATATGGAGGCATGAAATCCTAATTATTATAGAGGCATATTCTATTGACAGTAGGAGTGAACCTTTGACCGGTAAGTTATAAAGAAAAAAAAGGCAAATCAACCATTTTGTACAAGAAATTTAACACATGCTGTACAATGCCTTTACTTTGCTGTCATTGTTTGTGCAAACTTTTCATGGTTGATTTGACCATCACCATCAATATCTGCTTCCCTGGCCATATCATCTGTTAAATTTTCTCCAAGGATTGTCATCATTTGACAAAGTTCTGCTGCATTAACATAGCCATTACCATCTTTATCAAACCCAGATGCTGCTCTAATTTCTTCTTCACTATCTCTCATTTACTTGCCATCATTGTGAAATTCAGGGAAGTCAGTGTGCCATTCATTATCATCAACATCTACTTCATTAATCATGTAATTCTGCTTCTGTGGGATTCTGCCCAAGAGACCTCATTACAATTCAATAGCTCCATTACCATTTTTTCAAATAATGAAAAAGCTTCTTTGAATTGTGCAGTCAACTCTTTGGTTGGTTGGTCAGCTGATCAGCCATGCTGCAAACGATCATGGCTGCTGACACCCAACCACACAACCATGAAGCTTATTAGATTCACTCAGACTCTAATTGTCTAATCATCCCCACATTCCTGGTAAAGATCCTACATGGTCATATACTGTTGAATTCTGTTCCTTAGTATTTTATTGAGGATTTTACCATCTGTATAAGAGAGATTATCCTGTAGTTTTCTTTTAGTAAGGACAAGGATCTCTTAGTTCAGTAGTTAAGGTAGAAACTATGGCAGTGCACAGAATTTTTAATGATTCTTCTTCTTCGATTAGGTTCTTTTTGTCTCCTGTGGAATCCTTAGCTTCCTTTTTGCTTTATGGCTGCTTCTCAGTTTCTGTTTATGCCTCCTTGTCCTTGCTCTTAAAGAGTTAGGGTTGTTCAGCTTTTTGAGGAAGCGCCAAACTGCCTTCCAGAGTGGTTGTACCATTTTATAATCCCATCAACAATGTATAAGAGCTCCTATCTCGCCACATCCTCTCCAACATTTATTACTTGCTGTCCTGTTAAACTTTGCCACTCCTACTGGAGTGAGTGGTTCCATTGCATGTAATATACCCCAAGAAAATGAGAACTGAGGCTTAAATGGAAACTTGTATACCAGTGTTCATAGCAGCATTATTCACCATTGCAAGAACATGGAAACAGCCCAGATGCCCAACCACAAACGAATGGATTGAGAAGTTGTGGTACATTCACACAGTGGAGTACTATACAGCATGCAAGAGCAGTGATTTTGTAAATTATTACCTAACTTGGGAGGGACTAGAGAGCATTATGCTGAGTGAACTAACTAAGTCCCACAAGGACAAATATCTGTATAAAACCATTATTGTAGCATGAGTATGAGGATCCAAGGAGGGGAAAGGTGGAAGCAGAGGGATGAGGATGGGTGGTGGTGGGTGAGGTGTTAATCATAGGATTGCACAATTCAATGAGGGGGAGGGATGTGAGGGAAATGGGAAGGATCTTTTGTGAAAAACAATGTATTCAAACTTTGTAAATAAAGTAGAATTTTTTTTTTTTTTAAATGTTAGGGGAGTGAGAGGGGCTATGGGTGGGTGGGCGGCAAAATAAAATAAAAAAAAATTTAGGGTTGTTCTCAGGATTCATCCCTCATTCACTTTATCTGTGTATTGTACACATTTCTCCTGACCTCTAAGCCAGTTTGATACTGAATGCCTCACAGCATTTAGAATTCAACTTTCCTGCAACTGAAATTATTTGCTTCCCGTCTAAATTTGTTCTTCTCTGGTTTCTCTTTGCAGAGATAGTAGAATCATTTACTCAGCTGCTTGTGTTAGAATTTCCTGATTACCTTATTCTCTGGAAATGATTACTTCTAGAGAGATTACTTATTTTTCCTTAAAATTGTTGGTGTGCCCCATCCTTATTCCTTAGTTAACCCCTATCATTTTTACTTAAGTTACCACAAGAATTCTTTTACCCATCTCCTGTTGCCTTTTTACTCTACTTTCAACAGTGCTCTAAAAATTATTTTTCTATGCAACAGACAGGATCAGGTTATTTCTAGGTTAAAACTCATGATTTTCTCAAGACCATCAAGTCCTTCAACCTGGCATTCCAAATCCTTTGTCAGTGTAACTCTCTTGTTCTCCGTTGTCTTCTACATCCTGCCAGCCTAAGATTTGCAGCTGTTTCTCAGCAATGCTTTTCCTACACCCAGGGTAGAACCATGTGCTGGACCTCTGGGCTCCGACAGAACCGTGGGCTTAGTTTATCAGAGCACAAAGGTGGATCTGACGTTTAGCTCATCATTTGCTGGAGTCTCCAGAACCTACAATGGTATTTGGAAAGCTGATACTGTTTTTCTTAATTTGTATAGTTAAGATTCTAGACAGGAGTTTGGATGATGTTATTTTAATTTTTTAGACCACATATGGTCTCTGTCACATATTCTTTTTTCATCTTTTTTTTTAACTTTAACCACTGTTAAAATTCCCAAAATTTTTTATCACCCCAAACTGAAACTCTATTCCTAATAAGGATTTTGCTTACCTTTTTTTTAAAAAAACCCCACAAACCCAACACTTTAAAAATGAAAAAGCCAGTTTTAGCTCAAAAGTTGTACAAAACCAGGCCATGCTATCACAGCCCACAGACTGAATTTGCCAACCTCTGTTAGAATAATTAATCATAATAAAAGTTTTATTTTTTATAATTTTTATTGTGATTTTAATGAAAGTTTACAGAAAACTTGGCTTTCCATTCATTTGTTGTTGCACATTCCCTCCCTGTCTTCCCCCAGTTCACTCTTCTGTTTAAAAAATTCAGTCATTGTGGCACAGTTCCTCCCACACCTGTCCACTTTGCACTTCTTATACCAGATTGTTATACAGTTACTTATACCAGACTATCATGTATTCCTTATTTTCCTCTTGTTGTGTACCGTTCAGAGGCATCTGACTGACATAGGAGGATATTGCCCCTCCTACTCCATTGGAACATCTGGTGGATTTGAACTGCCTGCCTTTGGGATTGTAGCGCAACTTCTTGCCAGTAGGCCACTAGAGCTTCTCTTATATATTCCTTTTAAATAGTTCCTTCCCCCATCTGTTCCAATGCAGTGTTTATTATTTACCTGCTCTTTTCCCCCAATGTCAGTCCTATTTTATAACAATGGCATTGTGCAGTATTTGTCCTTCTGTGACTGAGATATGTCACTCAGTATAATGTCCTCCAGGGTCACCCATATTGTGGAATATTTTATGAGTCCCTTGTTTTTCAGTGCTGTGTATGTAGTATTCCATTGTGTGAATATACCATAGCTTCTCTATCCATTCATTTGTTGATGGGAAAGAGTTTATGTATTTTTTTTAAAGTTTTTTTTTTTTTTGTTATGTACCATTGAATCAGATCCAACTGGCACAGGAGGAGATTGCCCCTCCTTCTCCAGCAGAACATGTAGTGTATTTGAACCGTGAACCTTTGGGATTGCAGCGCAGCTTTCTGCCTCTAGGCCACCAGAGCTCTAAGAGTTGATATTTTTAAAAATTTAAGATTTTTTTTATTAGTCATTATTAGTATCCTCAAAACCAAAACCTACTGCCATCCAGTTGCCTCTGACTAATAATAACCCTCCTTCAGGTTTCTGAGGTTTTAAGTCTCTCTAAGACTGCCCTTCCGTCTCCTGTAGAGCAGCAGGTGAATTCAGACCGCTGACCTTGCAGTTAGCAGTCTTGACACATTCTGCAGCATGCTACCAGGGTTCCTTAGTATTCTGGGTTTCTTCTGTATGTCCTTTGTCTGCGCTTGTCTTTTCTTAAAAAAATACTTAAAGGTCCCAGCAGCAATAGCAAAGTGCATCAGGGCAGCAAACAACAAATGCTGGCAAGGTTGTAGAGAAATTGGAACTCCTATTCACTGCTGGTGAAAAATGGTGCAGCCACTATGGAAGATGGTTTGGTGCATTCTCAAAAAGTTGGAAATAGAAATATCAGTTGACCCAGCAAATCCACTACTGGGAATATACCCTAAGGAAACCAGAGCCACAACTCAAACAGACTTGTGCACACCCATGTGTATTGCTGTATTATTCACAGTAGCAAAGAGATAGAAACAACCCAATTGCCCATCAACAAATGAATGAATAAAAATTACTATGGTACTCTCACACAATGGAATGTTACTCAGCTTTAAAAAACAGTGAACTCAGGGGAGCTCAGGTGGCCTAGTGGCAAGAAACTGCACTGCAGTCCCAGAGGTATATGGTTCTGCTGGAGAAGGAGGGGAAATCTCCTCCTGTACCAGTCAGATCTGATTTGACGGTACACATAAAAAATAACAAAACAAAACAAAACAAAAAATCCAACAGGAAAAAAAAAATAGAAGGAAAAAAACACCAAAAAAACTCCACAGTGAACTCGTGAACTGTTACACAACATGGGGGAGCCTGGAGGACATTATGCTGAGTGAAATTTCTCAGTCACAAAAGGATAAATACTGCATAACACAGCTGATATAAAATAAGATGTACATTTGAGTTGTTGGGGAAAGAATGGGAAGAGAATGAATACTCCATTAGATCAGATAAGAGGAAGAACTGTCTGAAAGGAATGTTTGTCCAAAAGACATTATATATATGACAACATCTGGAACAAGGGATGCAATGTGGGGAGGGTTGGAGGAGCGGGGAGAGGTGAGGGGCAGAAAATGTGAAACAATGAAAAAAAATTAAAAAGAAAACACTTTTCCAAGAAACTGCACTGCAATCCTAAAGGTGCACAGTTCAAATCCACCAGATGCTCCACTGGAAAAGGAGGGGCAATATCTTCCTGTGTTACTTGGATCCAATTTCATGCTACACAACTAGAAAAAAAAAAAAAAGAAAACATTTTTTTATGTTAAAAGAAGTAAAAATGGGAAAAATTACTTAAAGGTATTTAACTAATACTCAGAAGTTTTGTGTTTGTGTTCCGCCCCCCCTTCCCCCAAGGCTGTTATCAAAGAACAGCTCCAAGAGACCCAGGGGTTATGTGAATATGCAGTCTATGTCCAAGGTAAGACACATACTTCTTCTATTCTCAACTAGAGAAAGTACACTTTGCTTAGGTTCTTTGGAAAGTGCAAACAACTTGGGAAGTGTTTAAATTTAAGAACATGTTCCTCAAAGGTTTTATTTAGTATTCTCTGTTTTAGAAATCTGAACATAATTCTTGGGCTGGAGAGATGACTTGAGAGATGACAAGTATTGTTTAAAAATTTGCCCTCTTGTGCAACAGTGAATGAATGGAAATCCAAGTTCTCAATAATTGAAGGAAAAAAAAAGAATTTCCCTGTGCCCTCAGCCCTCTTTGAGCCTCTGGCTAGTGTTTTTAGAATGGATGCTTGGGATCCCTGCCTCATGCAGTGATTAAAGGGCTAGAAATTGCTTTTGAAAGATTTCTTGTAGTCAAGCTAGAAGAAGTGAGAAAAGGCTTAGAGATTCTGTAAGATGACTAAGAATGGAGGGAAGAAGTCTAGAGGTATACAAGATAAATCAATCTGAAACAAAATATAGGAGCTTTGGCCTGTTTTTTACCTTTTAGTCCCCAAAGTACCATCTTTAGTTTTCAGATACTCTTTCATTTTTGACACTTTGATGGTTTGTGTTTACCACTCATTGCATTTTTAGTCATAAGATTAATTTATCATTTTCAGACAGAATTAGTAGAATAGGTTTTTATGACAAAAGATGTGTTTATTCATTCTCAGTATCGCAAATGCTATACTTTCAATGCCTGACAATTCTTTTTTTCCCCCTCCTGACATTTCTTAAGTGTATATGTCTTTCAGAAAACTTAGAACTGGTAAAAATTCTTGGTTGACTTAGAAAACAGAGTCAGAAATCATACGATGTTCTCTTGCAGAATCTCCTGTTAAGACTTAAGATATTGATTTCATTTATTCATTAGGGAGTTCTCTCTGAAAACTATTGGATAGCATTCTAAATTATCATAATTGATAGCATTTCTGATAGGAAAGTCAAGGAGTATTTTTATTATGTAAAAAGGTTGTATGATAATTTAAAAACAATTGTGATAAAATATATAACAGCATTTCAACTCTTTTTAATTGTGAAATTCAGTAATGTTAATTGCTTCCATGCTGTACAGCTATTTCCATTGTTTTCAGATTTTCTTAGTACCTTTAATAGAACCACAGTATCCCTTAAGCAGTAATTCCTCCTTTCCTCCCTACTTGCCTTTGCTAACACTAATAGACTTTGGTTTTGATGTATTTGACTACTGTAAATATTTTATATAGGTGAAGTCATATTGACCTTTTGTACGGTATGGATCACATTTTTTTGTTCATCTGTTGATTGACACTTGGATCATTTCCATCTTCTGGCTAGAGTGAATAATGCTGCAGTGAATATTACTGTACAAATGTCTATTTCAGTCTCTGCTCTCATGCCTTTTTGATATATAATTCTAAATTTAACTTTTTGACGAGCTGCCAGACGGTTTCCCACAGTGGCTATATCATTTGATAATCCCACCAGCAATAGATGAGGGTTCTGATTTCTCTTTATTTTCTCCAACTTTTTCTATTTTCCATTTTCATGATAAAAACTGTCCTAGTGGTTGTGAGGGAGCTTTGCTGGCGTGGTCCGCAGGGAGTTGTGCTGTTAGCCCAACAGTCTGGCTGTTTGAATTCCCAAGGGAAATGGGCAGTCTCTTTCCATGCCATGACTGCCTCAGAAGCCCAGTGCAGCTACAAGTAATTTCGAGCTTGATGGCAATGAGGAGGGAGTTGATTGTGGAGTGGTATTTCATTGTGGTTTTGATTTGCATTTCACTGTTGACTAGTGACATTGACTTTCTTTTCATACACTTGCTCATTTTTATCTCTCTCTCTCTGTGATATGTCTATTGGAATTTTTTGCCTATTTTTGATTGAGTTGTTTGCCTTTTTGTTGTTGAGTTGTAGGAATTAATTACATATTTTGATATTAAACCCTTATCAGATACATTGTTCTCAAATAGTCTCCAATTTTATACATTATCTCCTCACCTTATTACTAAAGTTACTTGATGTGTAAAAGTTTTTAATTTTAACGTTGTCTGGTTCATCTCTTCGTTGTTGTTGTTCAACTAGTCTGTTGTTGGTCAGCGTTTTGGTATCATAGATAATATCCATTTAACAGCAAAAAATTAGATCTCCAAAGCATTGCCCTGTATTTTATTCTGAGAGTTTTATGGCTTTACTTCTTATATTTAAGTCATCTATTTTGAGTTAATGTTTAGGTATGAGTCCAGCTTATAATTTTTGTATATAGAGACCTAATTATCATATTGGCAAGACTATTCTTTATCCCTTTGTATAATTTTTTTTATTAATTTCAGTGAACATTTACAGAGATTTTGGATTTTCATTCATTCATTGTTGCACTTTTCTCCCTGCCCACCCCACCCCTACCCCCAGTTCACTCTTCTCCTTGAAAAGCAAAAGAAAAAACTCCTTCGTTGGTATACAGTCCCCACCCCTGCACCCCACTGTGGATAAATTTAACACCCTTGTTGAAAATATATTGACTGTAAATAGATGACAAAAAATAGAAAGGAGCAGAAAGTCATTATAAAGATAAAGGAGAAAGAGAAAACCAAAATGGATGTCAAAAGAGACTCTGAAAACTGCACTAAAATATCAAGAGGCCAAAAAGGAAAGAGAAGCTAAAGAAAAAGAGCTGAATAGAATATTTCAGAGGGCAGTTTGAGAAGACACAGCCAAGTATTATAAAGGAATATGCAGAGAATTGGAGTCAGAAAGTCAGGAGAACTCTCTTGGCATTTCTCAAGCTGCAAGAACTGAAAAACAAATTCAAACCTTGAGTTACAATACTGAAATATAATATGGGCAATATCTTGAAGGGTCTAGGAAGTATTAAAAGAAAATGGACCACTCAAGCAGATATATGCACACCCATGTTTATTGTGGCTTTGTTCACAATAGCAAAGCGTTAGAAACAACCTAAGTGCCCATCAAAAACGACAGAGAAGCTGTGGCTTAGTCACACAATGGAATACTACCTGCTTTGAAAAACAAACAAAAAAAAAGAAAAACAAAGAACTCATGAAATAACATACAAAATGGGTGACCCTGGAGGACATTAAGCTGAGTGAAGTATCTCAGTCACAAACTGAGTCAAATACTGCATAGTGCCACTGTTGTAAAATGTGACTGACATTGGGGTTGGGGGGAGACTGAGAAAGATGGGATAAATTTTGTGTACTGCATTGAAACAGATGAGGGAGAGAATTGTTTAAAAGGGATACATGATTAAGTATTATTGTCATGACAGGAGTCGAGAACAAAGGCTGCATAGTGGAGTGGACTTGGCGAGAGAGATTGTATAATAATGAAAGAATTTTTCTTTTACTTTTCAAAGAGAAGCGTATACTGGGGGGAGGGGTGGGCTGGGAGAAAAGTGCTACAATGAATGAATGGAAAGTCTGTAAATGTTCATTAAAATTAATAATAATAGAAAAAGAAAGTAGAAAAAGAAAATGCAGGGAATACAGTGGCACTGTATCAAAATGAACTGGCTGACATTGAAATATTTGAGGAAGTACCATATAATCTTTGGAAGTAGGAGTGGCACCCACTTCCTAAATAACATGCCTCTGTAAACTCTATCAACTTTGATAAATGTCCATATTTACAGAAAGGCTTCAGGCCTTTTGTTCATAGGGTCAGTATGAGTCATGCTCAACTCAATGACAATCAGCAACAACAACCATATGATTAAGAGCCAGTGGTAATGAAAGAAGAGGTATAAGCTCCACCAAAGACATTGGCAAAAGATAAGACTCCAAGAATTGATGCTCTACCAGTTGACATGTTTTACCTAACAGATACAGCCCTGGATGTGCTCATCAGTCTATGCCAGGAAATTTGGAGGATAGCTGCCTGGTCATCTGAGTGGAAGAGATCCATATTTGTTCCCATTCCCAAGAAAGACGATTCAACAGAATGTGGAAATTATTGAACAGTATCATTAATATCACATGCAAGCAAAATAATGCTGAAGATCATCCAAAACCGACTGGAGCAATACTTAGAGAACTACCAGAAATACAAGCTGGCCCCAGGGATATCATGCTGATGTCAGATGGATCCTGGCTGAAAGCATAGACTACCAGAAGAATGTCTGTTTGTGCTTTATTGACTGTGCAAAGACATTTGACTTTATAGATAGTAAATTATGGCTAACATTGAGAAGAATGTGAATATCAGAACAATTAATGGTGCTCCTTATGAAATCTAAAACTAGACCCAAGAGATTGTAATGAGAACAGAGCAAGGAAACACAATATGGTTTCAAATTAAGAAAGGTGTACCTCATGGTTGTATCCTCTTTCCATAACTATTCAATCTGCTGTTGTTGTATACTGTCTAGTCGGAACTGACTCTGGAGAGCCAGTGGGTTTTTAGAGGCAGTTAATTGAACCGGAGGAGATTACCCATCCTTCTCCTGCAGAGCAACTGGTGGATTCGAACCATGTGCCTTCAGATTTGAAAAGTGGGCCTCTATGAAGAAGAATGTGGTTTCAGGATCAGAGGAAGACTTATCAACCTGCCTTATGCAGACGACACAGCCTTGCTTGCTGAAAGTGAAGAGGAGTTGAAACGTTTGTTGCATAAGATCAAAGACTACAGACTTCAATATGGATTATATCTCAACATCAAGAAAAAAATATTCTCACCACTGGACTGATAAGCAACATCATGACAGATGAAGAAACAATTGAAATTGTCAACGACTTCATTTACTTGGATTCACAATTAACACCTTTGGAACCAGCAGTGAGGAAACCAGGAAATAGACTGCACTGGGAACGTCTGCAGTCAAGGACCTCTCCAAATTCCTGACGAGCAATGATATCAGTTTGAAGATGAAGATTCAGGCCTGATTCAGGCCAACATCTTTTTAATCACTTGCATCTGAGAACTGGACAATGAATAATGATAAATGGATGCCTTTTAGCTGTAACCTTGGATAAATGTCCTGAATATCCCACGGACTGCCAAAAGAACAAGCAAATATGTCTTGGAAAAAGTGCAGTCAGAATACTCCTTGCAGGCAAAGATGACAAAGCTTTGCCTCACATACTTTGGACATGTTGCTAAAAGAGGCTGTTCTCTGAGGAGTGACTTAATTCTTGAAAATGTAGAGGGTTGGCAAAAGAGGAAGACCCTCAATCAGATGGATTAACACAGCGATTGCAGCAGTGGGCTCAAGTGTGTCAGAAATTATGAGAATGGCACAGGATAGGACAGTGTTCAGATCTATTCATAGAGTTCATGGAGTCTATGAGTTATACTTGATGACACCTAACAACAACAGAAGGATGGATTTTTTTTCTGAACTCTTAATTATTTTCCTTTGGCCTATTTATCGATAGTCTGTTTTGTTTATCAGTTCCAGACTATTTTGATATTATCGTTTTAGGTACATTCTGAAATTGGGAAATGTATGTCCCCCTTCTTTGTTCTTTTCTTCAGAATTGTCTGGGCTTTTTAGGACCCATTACTGTTTAATAGAAATTAGAGGACTTTTTAATTTATTAAAAATTCTGTATTTTTGAAAATAAGGAATTTTTAAAAAATTTTATTTTTATTATTTTGTATGTATGTACTGTCAAATCAGATCTGACTGATACACGAGGAGATTGTCCCTCCTTCCCCAGCAGAGCATCTGGTGGATTCAGACTGCTTTCCTCTGGGATTGCAGTGCAGCTTCTTGCCAGTAGGCCACCAGAGATCGTAAAAAATAAGGAATTTTTAATCTTGATATAGATTGCATTTGTATGCTAGTTGGGCAATTTTAAAGTCTTGGCACTGTTAAGTCCTTTAGTTTATGAACATTGAGTGCATTTCCATTTATTTAGTTCACCTTTAATTTCTCTCAGTAATCTTTCATAGTTTTGAGTATATAAGCTGTTTATTTCCCTGGTTAATCTGAAGTTTCTTTCCCCAGTTGTTCTTAGGTACTTAGTTCCTTTTATTGCTATTATAAATGGAATTGCTTTCTTATTACATTCCTCTAGTAGAGAAACTTGGCTGATTTTTGCATTAACTTTATATTGTATTCCAGTTTTCATGGCACCTGGTTAACTGTGTAATGGATGTTTGGAGTAAAATAAGAGGAGGTTTGAGCTTCCTTATCAATTGAATTTTTTTTAAGCTGTCCACAACTTTGCTACTTGTTTCAAGGGTTCCTTTGCATACTTAACCATGTGAAGTCCTCTCTGATTGTATTTAAGATGTAATTATGATATAGCTCCATTTTTCCAAGGACATGATTTTGTTTTCTGTTTCTTGCCAGCATTGATATTTCGCCTAGAAGGGCACATCCAGGAATCTCTAGAACTCTTTCAGACGTGTGCTATCCTGAGCCCTCAGTGCGCTGACAACCTTAAGCAGGTGGCCAGATCATTGTGAGTGTTGCAGCCTGGGAGTCTCAGGGTACCACAGAGACATAGAAATGTGTTCGCAGGCGGAGGCTGCTGCTGGTAGAATAGGTGCTGGAGAAGACGGCAGCATCCAGGATCTCAGTATTTAAAACACTGTATTCTAGTTTGATGGTGGGAGGGGACTAGTCCTGTACCTTGAATCTCTGACCACATTGGAAATATGTGGAATTTTCTCATCTTCTGCTCCCTTAGTTGTATGCTGTTTGACACAATGTACATTTTTGGCAAATTTTTGTTAAAGAATGAATGCTTCTGGATGCCTGCAACCTTCAAAGTCTTTATCTTAGACACACCCCTTTTCAGAGTAGTAAAGTAGAACCCATCTCCTTTCTTTTGTACATTTTCTTCCCTGTTTTTTCATGAGTATAAAACTCTTGTTTCCCTACTTCTTTCCAAATTTAATATTCCATTTTAAAGAAAGAAACACGGGAAAGAAATGATGTTGGCAGTGCTTGCTTAGTTTGATGCATGATCTGGAGCATTTTGTTTATTTTGTAGAGCATTGTGTATTGTAGAAAAGGAAAAACATTATAGAAGACTTACTAAAAATCAGTGTAGGATTGGACCAAGGTTTAGGAAATAGTGCAATCCTTACCAGAAGAATTTTTCCATTAGTTTACAGCAGCAATGACTTCAAACTGGTTCAGCCTAGTCATGGCCAACAAAATGACACCAAAGTAGACTGGAAATCTGAAAATGTGAATGAATTGGAATGCTAATTTGAATGGGAGAGGCTATTGGTCAAAGCCATGCTATAAGTTTTATTTCCGTTAGAAAACAGAGGCTGTGTGCACATTGCACAGCAATCAAATCTCTTGACTGAGTTGAAAACAGTGGTGCCCAACTCAAAGACCGCCTGGTGCTTTGATGTGTGTTCACATTACTTAACAGCCTTGGGAGTAATCCAGAGCCAAGTATTAGATTTCTGAAAGGGCTCCATATTCAACTTTTGAGTCTCCTGTTTTAAGACTTCATCCATCATTTTTCCTGTTCTGATTAGCATTCAAGATCACTCACATTATAACAATCCATGCCTGTTCCTGTTTTACTTTGTCATCTATGATTGAATCAATTTGTACTGATTGGGTAAGTTCAGTTAGACCCTGATCGAAGCCTCATTAGCTAAACCAGCAGAACTAGCTTGTAAGGATGTGACCTCTAAAATTCCCTGGGTGGTTTAGGAGGGCAGTGCAGGCTGGGTGGGAGTAGTCTTGTATGAGGTTAGTGGAAATGGTTATGGAAATGTATTTTTTCCACAGATTTCTTTTGGGAAAACATAAAGCTGCCATAGAAGTATATAATGAAGCCGCTAGACTTAACCAGAAAGATTGGGTAAGCAGAGAACTTTCAGGTTTTTGGGGTTTATTTATTTATTTATTTTTAATTATTATCATTTGTCTTAAATGACTATTACTGAATTCTATATGTAACAGAGGTTCTTCCTGTAATTACCAGTTCTTCACACTCTCCTTTCTCCAAACCTTCCGTAAACAAAGAGGAATTCACTATAAGAGAATTTGAGAGATTCCATAGAACTCAAAGTCAGGAAATACAGATTGGATTTTAAGTGACTAAGAACTAGAGAAGCTATCAACAACAAGAAGTTAGCTACTTTATGTATGTTCTTTTTTTTTTTTTTTTCTTCTCTAGAGAAGAGGTTGGCAAACTTTCTGTAAAGGGCAACATAGTAAATGCTTGAAGTTTTATGGTTCCATATGGTCTCTGTTGAAATTAATTTTGCAGTTGTAGTGCTAAAGATTCATTGAGAGTACAAAAGCAGACAGATGTGGCAAAAAAAACCTGAAACTAAAACCCCATTGAATTGAGTCCTGCTCTAAGTGACTTTCCACAGGTCTGTGAGGACGCCTTCTACAAAGAAAGGCAGGGGACAGATTTGCTTTTTAAAGCCCATAGCTTGCTGATCTCTGTTGTAGATTTCTACTCCCCAAGCCCCCATTACTAGTTAATGTAGTGCTAGCTAGATTTCTAGGGAAAGGATTTTAATTGGCTCAGGTGTCTGTCTGGGCATATATAGCCTCAAAGCTGGAACTGTGTGGCCAGTTGACCTCTCAGCACGGACTGCGAGTGAATTGTCTACTGAGATGAGGACACAGAGGGTGCGGGGTGGCAGACAACTCTTACGAAAAAATGGTGAGGGATGTGTTGAGTACCTCAGAGTTTTTCCCCTCTCATAACTTGTCACTTTTTTTTTTTTCAAGTTAAGGAATCCATTTTGTGGAATTAAATTTATTTAACTATTAACTCTAGTTTTAAAATTAAAGGTACAGTCCATGTTTTAAAGTTTAGACTTTGCTGAGCAACATTAATTTCTAGAAGCCTACTGTTTGACTTTCATGTCTAGTATGTAAGATAAGACACTTAAGCCTTTTTCCCTTTCTTTTGTGTGTAGGAGATCTGCCATAACCTAGGAGTTTGCTACATTTACCTGAAACAGTTCAACAAGGTAATTTATAGAGTGGCGGAGGCGGTTGACTGGCCTCTTGGGATTTTTGTGAACTGCAGCCACGCTGCCCCATAGTTCTGTCCCCTGAGGTTTGAGTTCATCTCAGTGCCTGCAGATCAGCCTGGATATGAACATTTAGAGGGCCGTAGGCACTCACCCCATTTTTTACTTCTAATTTATCATTATCTACCTAGGGCTGTTCTGGTGTTTCCCCCCCACCTCTGACTTTAGCAAGAAATTTCAAATCTAAAAATATTATGACCAAGTAGAAGTCTACTCACATTTCCCTTTTTTCTTTCTATCCCCCCAGTTTAATGTTTCTATGTGGAAACAAATGTTCAATAAAACTTTCAGTATCAGCTGCACTGCAATCCCAGAGGTATGCAGTTCGAATCCACTATATGCTTTGCTGGAGAAGGAGGGGCAGTCTCCTCCTGTACCAGTCAGATTCGATTTGATGGTACACATAAAAAATAATAATAAAAAAACCAAAAGAACAAAAAACCCTTTCAGTATAAAAGAGTGGATCCTTATGTGTTAAAAGTGTTGTCCTGGTGAGTTCTGGTGGCCTAGTGGCAAGAAGCTGCACTATAATCCCAGAGGTGTGTGGTTCAAATCCACCAGATGCTCTGCTGAAGAAGGAGGAATAATCGCCTTCTGTACCAGTCAGATCCGATTTGACAGTACACAAAAAATAATAATAATAATAAAATTTAAAAGAAAGTGTTGTCTGGACTGTGTGAGCTATAGTAAATGATTTTAGTTTTTTAAGCTCATTGGAAATTTAAAATTTTAATTGAATCTTATTTCTGAGCATTCTCAATTTTAGTAATTTACCTTAATGAGAACTTCCATTTCATTGTGATTAAGCTGTACTTCTGAGGATATTATGTACAGGAAAGCAATTTGAACTGACTTTGATAGTCAGATAAAGAAGGGGGGGGAAGTACCTTAATTGAGGGCTAGGGTGAATTAGTGAGAGCTCTGGAAGTTAATGATCCAGAACTAGGGAGAGTCCTCTTTATAAAGTTCTCATTAAGTGATTGTCATCTTTTGTTTTCCTTTCCCCATTGCTGACAGGTTGAGAATTAGAATGAGCTAATAGTTAATACTCACTTGACATTATTTAATTAGTGTCCATTTGAAACGAATATATTCTTCAGGGATGTGAAAAAAATGGCATCTCAGTCATTTATGTATAAGTCCTGTAAGGGGTGTGTAGATGGCTAGGTCCCTCGTGGCTTAAGGTGTTTTGCGCTATCAACCTAAAGAATCAACCATCTGTGCCTCAGGAGAAAGATAGGCAGTCCCCTCTTAAGAGTCACCATAAATTGGAATTGACTTAATGATTTGGGGTTTTGTTTTGTTTTTCCCTCTAGTTTTGCGGGATGTGGGTATCTATACTCATATATTTTTATTTATATTTCATGGGCTTTGTAGGTTTTCTGGATGTATCTACACACAATTTTTAATATATTTGATTAGAATATTTTTCTCCTCAGAGACTGTTTTAAACAAGTACCCTCTATGGGTTACTCTGCGGCTCGGGAAAGGTAGCCTTTGGTTGGAATGAAGAATTCCATGGAAGGCAAATAGACTAAGCAAAATCCAGACCTGGCACTTATGAAAATGCCTGTTGGAACAATGAATGACTGGGAAAAAAGCCCATTTAATCATCTCCTTGCGTGTGAGGTCTTCCAGAGCAAAGCAGTTTATTAACTCTAGTATCCTTAGTGCCGAGAATGCCGACATTCCGTAGATACTTGCTTAGTGGATAAAGGAGAACTCTTTACTCATTCATGTTGTGATGGCGAGGAGAATGAAGCCCCCTGGGGAAGTGGCACCATCTAGTAGTACTAGATATACTACCATGTACTAGTACTAATAGTACTACCATGTAGTACTCTGTGTTGTCAGGCGGCGTCATTGGCTTTGACTCATAATGACCCTGTGTATGCAGAATGAAACTCGTGCATAGTCTTCCATACTGCACCTTAACACTTCCTCTGTCTTGTGAAGAATGAGCCATTAGTGTGGATATCAGGAAGCAGAAAACATTCAGAAAAGTTAATTATCTTGTATAAACTGTCCAAATGGTTCTAGACACCAGCACCCCATGTCTTCAACTATCTTGTCAAGGAGCTAGTTTTGATAGGTTGTGGCCCTTCATGTGGGGACTGTTTGCTGGAATGTGATAGTTCTACATTAATGTAGTTGGAGTTTTGTTTCTACATTAGCAATACAAAGCCATGTCCTTTCTACCTTCTACCTTGTTAATGATAATTATTGGATTCCTTTTACTCTGTTAACCTTTTTAGGCACAAGACCAGTTGCACAGTGCCCTACAACTCAATAGGCATGATCTGACTTACATAATGCTGGGGAAGATCCACCTGCTGGAGGGAGATGTGGACAAGGCCATCGAAATCTACAAGAAGGCAGTGGAGTAAGTGTCTGTTTCCTAAAGAGCTAAAACCTACCCATAGCTGTCCCTCCAGCAGGTTGTCAGAGGTAGTAAGTCGCACGGAAAGAGACTGTCTGTTTATCTCCCATGGAGCAGCTGGTGGATTTAAACCGTATGCCTTTGGGATCACAGCGTAGATGGTTTTTCAAAAAATTTTATTTAAAATAAAAATAATTTTATTTTATACTGTTTTATTTACAGAGTTCATATACATTGTTTTTCACACCAGATTTTTCCAATTTCCTACATCACCACCACCTACTCATCAAATTGTGTGACCCTATGATTAATGTGTGTCTCCCTCTCCTTTCCCCGCCCATCCTCAGCCCTCTGCTCCCCCCTTCCCCTCCCTTAGATCCTCATTCTCGTTCTACAATAATGGTCTGAGTTAGTTCGCTTAGCATAATGCTCTCCAGTCCCCCACCCCCAAGTTAGGTAGTAATTTACAAAATCACTGTTCCTGTGTCATAGTGCAGATTCTTAACCACTAAAATTTTTGTTGTTTTGTGCCATCAAGTCAACTGCAACTCAGCAACCCATGAGCAACACATCTGAAACCTGACCTGTCTTGTGCCATCATCATCTCTGACAAACTTGAGCCTGTTGCTACAGTTTATGTCAGTCAGTCACTAGAAACAGATATATGAACTTTCAGGGCTAAGAGAAAATCACATTAGTCATCAAAATAAGAGTGAGTCAGAGTAAAAGGTAAGCTAAAGTTATGGCTAAGAGATCTCAATATGGAATAGAATTACCATTTGATCTAGCAATCTCACAACTCAGGTGAGATTCCAAAGAAACAAGGACTGCAACACAAACTAACACACACACCCCCACGTTCATTCCAGCATGATTTACAGTCGCACAGAACTGGAAACTGCACAGTGCCCATCACACAGTGCCGTATTAGGCATCACTGAAAAAACCGATGAGGAATTTGTGAAAGACGGTACAACATGAATGTATAGCAGGTCTGTTCTCGTGTTGCTTTGTTGACTGTGACTAAGCTGGCCTGGACTGGCCACAGCCCTGGTTATAAACGCCATTTCTTTCTTGCATGAGCTTTTCCTCCTGTGATGAGGGTTATAATCACCACCTTTTGAAGGAAATTCTGAAAATGACATTAAGAGTTTCCATGTGGAGTGGGTAGCTCACCTGGTGTCAGGTGGTTCCAGAGAGCCAATAACTGTGTGTATCTCAGTGTTTCTCACACGTGTTGTTTCTTTCTGAGAAACTGATTGGTATTTGCAGGTTCTCACCCGAAAACACGGAACTTCTTACAACTTTAGGATTGCTGTACTTACAGGTAATGGAAGCTTTACTTGAAATAATTTAGGATTTGTGCGGATGGTTTTCTTCCTACATTTGGACATGACTCTGACACATTTTACCAGTGGTCATATAAGGCACATGGCTCTTGCTCTTTGCATTTGCTATTCTTTGCCTGCTAAAAGAATTAAAAAAATTTTCAGAGTTCAGGTCAGAATCAATTCTGTTTGAGCCCTGTGCAATTATAATTCTTAAGCAACCAAGGAAAAGGCATTCATAAGAACTGTTCTGGGTTGAGGGCAGAAGAAGTTATTTTCTTAGGGGAAAATTATGACTACACTTCCCAAGGCTTTGAGGGCAAAGGCTGTTTGTGTTGCTTTTTTCTCTAAAGCAAAGCTCTACAGGAGGGAGGGTCATAAAGGAAACACACAGAGGGTGTGTTTTTGCCACCTTAGTAAGAATTCCTGAAGGTGAATGGCCTGTTAAACTACATCATTAGCACTGGAGGATCTGGGGCCCAACGGTCCCTGAGAGGCCTTATCTACTCCTGGGCTCCTTTCCCTGCTCATGATCTTGCCTCCTTTTATGTGTGTGAGGCCTTGTCAGTTTGCTTTTCTGGAAAAGGCATTGAGAGCTTAACTTGATGTCCAAGGGTCGTCTTGGGCTTTGGTCTGAGGGGTTAACCCCAAGGGATATGAGGCTAACCAATCCATTTCCTGCTAAGAGGCAGTGATGTGTATGTAACAGCACTAATATGACAGCATGATAGATGTTTTCTGCAAATAGATGCTGTCAGGGGATAAATCAGCACAACAGAGAAAACCACAAGTATACAGGGATTTTGGTTTTCTTTATCTGACATCTATAGTTGGTGGTTATTTTTTCCTGTCAGGGGAACTTACAGAAGTCTGGGTGTTTTCTGCTCAGGGTGTAATTGGCCGGGGTTCTAAACTGCCATCTCCCCTCTGATGTGAATCCTCCGGTTTGCTTTTTCCCTAAGCTCGGCATTTATCAGAAGGCATTTGAGTACCTTGGAAACGCACTGACTTATGACCCTACCAACTATAAGGTATTGCAAACAGTTACGTCCCAGAGCTTTTCACATAACTGGTCTCATGGCTTCTAGAGATCTGCATTTCAAATACCTGAGAAATTATCTTTTCCTTAAAAGTGTAAATAAAAGGGGACTATTTTAAGACAGGTTTGGAAGCAGGAGTGGCATCTACTTCCTAAACCACATGCCTATGGAAACTCTATGAACTTGGAGAAGTGATAATTATAGAAAGGCTTCAGGCCTTTTGTTCATAGGGTCACTATGAGTCATGCTCGACTGGCCGGCAATAAACAACCAACCAACCAACCACATATTTTTAAAAAGTGGGGGGGAATGACTATATATTTGAAAATATTGTAAAGTGTTGGTGAGGCTGCAGCCCTGGTAGAATTTGTTATTTGGAAAAAGTACTTAAGGTTCCATAACAAATGTTGGTTTGGTGTTTTGTTTTTTTTTTTAAAAACCCTTATGGCAATATGACTTTTAGATTCCTAAAGATAAGATAGTGACCTTTCCTCCAGATAATGACTTTGAGGACAAGAAAGAAGATAATCAAGGTGTTAAATAGCATTAAGGGAAATTAGTCCTGTTAGCCTGGCCAGGTCACTCCTTGTTGACCATATTCTCTACTTCTCTCCTTCCCTTAGAAAAGTAACAGGGCCTGGTACCTAAAATTCACATCTCCCGCCCTGATTTCTGTGGTGGAAGAAGTATTCAAGGATGGGTGTAGTTAGAGGTGTCCACAATACTTCATGTATCAGGGAGGAACAGATTATAGGTAGTTTTGCTTAAAGGCTTTTGATAATTAATTATTGGCATAGTTCCTTGGCCTTTTATCCTTTTCTTTTTCTGTATTGCCCCAGAGAGAGCTACAAGAGTGGAGTGACTCTTGTCATCCATATTTGTCTCAATAGATTGCATATGTATGTCCCTCGAAGAGGTTTCTGTGCTGATGTGCACTCTGGAAGGCCACGTCACTGCTCCAGCCTTAGGACTGCTCAAATCACTAACTTCCACATCCCTTGTTTCAGGCCATCTTGGCAGCAGGCAGCATGATGCAGACACACGGGGACTTTGATGTAGCCCTCACCAAATACAGAGTCATAGCGTGTGCTGTGCCAGAGAATCCCCCGCTCTGGAATAACATCGGAATGTGTTTCTTTGGCAAGAAGAAATACGTGGCAGTGAGTGTCTCCTCGTGTTTGTGCATGTGGCTGCTGGGCTGGGCGAGCCAGCCTCCCTCTCACCACACGCCTCCTTGCCCTTGCAGGCTATCAGCTGCCTGAAGCGAGCCAACTACTTGGCACCCTTCGACTGGAAGATTCTGTATAACTTGGGGCTCGTGCACTTGACCATGCAGCAGTATGCATCAGCTTTCCACTTCCTTAGTGCGGCCATCAGCTTCCAGCCAAAGATGGGCGAGCTCTACATGCTCTTGGCTGGTAAGAGACATTTCTGTGCAGAACCTCCTCCCATGCCTGCTGTGAGGGAAAGGGAATTTTAGTCAGGAGGGTAAACCTAGCTGCCCTACTGTCGTCATTCTCTTGCAGTTACTGTAAGAATCTGAGTTACTCTCATAGAGCTGGAAGTGAGGATTAAGAAGGGGAGTTTGATCCAGAGACCCAGCAGGCTAATGCAAGATCATCCCCTTCTTTTAGCAGCTTTTCTTTTCTTGACTTGACAGTTTATTTTTATATGTATTTGGAATTCTAAGTCCTATGTAGAAGACTAAGAGCTTGGACATTAGGTGAAGTCCTGCCTCTAGCACTTACTCTGTACACCTCACAGGACTGACAGCGTGATTAAACAGGCAGTAGTAACTTGTTTTTGTTGTGGACATGGAATAAATTCATTATGAATATTACTGTGTCATTGGTCCTGGTGGTAATTCTTTGTCAAGTTATATAGAAACCTGTATCTTTGAGAAGAATATTGTTGAGTATGGTTCCTTACATAAAAATCCATTTTATTCCAGAATTCTAAAGTTGATCACACAAATTATTGAAGATTAATCAAATAGCAAACTTTAAGTATTTATTATATATAATCAAGCATATAATTTTAAAGTAGTGACAGTGTGTTTCTGGGCAATATTCTTTATATACTGAGCTTACTAAATGTCTTAAAATAGAAGCCCAAGGGCAGATTCCACGTCCTTATCGATCATGGTCATCAGGTGAGGCATTTCCCCCGTCTTGGTCATTTCTGTGAGGTTCCTACTTTAAAAGGCTATAAAAACAGATTGGTTCTGGGGCTGCTAGGTGGTAGACAGCAGTTCTGCCTTTACAAACTAGAGATGCATTCCACAGTTTACAGGATACGTGACAATTCATCAGTGCAGAATGTGACACTATCCCAGGCTGAGAAGCCGTCGTGGACAAAGGCATGCCGCCATGAAATTGTAGGGTGTGTCCTGCGGTTCGTGGCAGCAGCAGCGTAGATTGTGGTGGGAAGTGAGTCAGGACAGACAGTTTGGAACCTAATTATGGAGGGCACTTGTACAGCATAAAGGCACTCTTACCCTAAAGGCTGTGCTTTTCCTAGAAACTGGATTTTCTGGTTTCTTCAGAAGTGCCTGATAGAAGTGAGGGCAGGTTTAGTGCTCATGAGGTTGAGCAGGGTGATTTTAAGAAAGGGGGACCAACAAAGGGTCTTTCATAGATAGTGGTATACTACAACTTTGAGATACCTGGGGGCATCGTGGAAGACAGGATGGAGGCAGACAGGGACATGGCTTTTGGGGAGAAGAGTTGGAAAACCAGAAATTACTTAAACCTGAATAAGGGCAGCTGTGGAAAAGGAATTGTAAAAGTAGGATGTGCAGAATTGGACAACGAATCAGTTTTGGAGACGGAATTCCTGGAGACAACACCAGGTGTCTGAGCTTAGAAATAAAATGGTGGTTCTCTGAGCTGACAGTTTAAGGCTGAAGGAACTATAGTCTTGACACCCTCCTCTTGTGTTCTGAGCTGGCCCCTTCAGCTGCAGTGCTCACTCTCTTTGTTGCAGTGGCTTTGACCAATCTGGAAGATGTGCACAATGCCAAGAGAGCCTATGCAGAAGCCGTCCGCCTGGATGAGTAAGCTGCTGCTGCTTTGCAAATAGTGTGGGAAGGGTTGGGCTCAGCAGAGCCACAAGGTGGCGCCATAGCACCGGGGCTGGTGCTTTGTGGCCTTCGTCCAGAGGCCCGAGCGGGAGGGATGTGGCTCCAGCACACACGGTGTGTCAGGAGCTGACACTGGCGTTTTTTTGAGAAAATGTTTCCCAAGTTGAATAGTCAGGAGGTTGGAGAATGCCAAAGAGCAGTCGGCTGGACAGTATGATGTGATTCTATTTATTTCACCGACATCTGCTCAAAAGCACAATTTTTTTAAAAATCCTAGTTGCTGTCGAACCAAATGCCTCTGGGACCCCAAGTGTGTGAGAGCGGCATTGTGCTCCACACTGTTTTCCAGGAAGGCTTTTTCTGAAGAAGCTCTCCAGGCCTTTCTTTGGAGGTGCTGCTTCCTGGAATCAAACCTCCAACCTTTATATTACCAGTTGAGCACATTAACCATTTGCATCCCTCAGGGACTCCAGAAAGCAAGGTTGCTGTTGTAGCTGAGTACCACTGGGTCGGAACTGACCCACCAGTGGGTTTTCAGAGGCAGTAAATTGCACAAGAAGGGATGCCTGCCCATCTTTCTCCTACAGAGTAGCTGGTGGATTTGAACTGTGCATCCTTACATTGGTAGTACAGTTACCTTACCATAGCTCTAGAAAGCAGGGTAGAGACCTCTCTGTCAGTCCTGCCTTGGGTGGCATCTGTGGAGGCCTGATCTGTGTGACTTGGTCGCCAATATTTGCTTTGCTCATTGAGCCATTAACTCCCTGATTCGTCTCCATGTGTCCCCACCTTTCTGGGTGGGTGGATATACTTACCTGTTCTGTTGTGTGGTTGTGTGATGGGAAGGAGCAAAGCCACGGTTCCTCTGATCCTTGTCTGTGTCCCGCAGGTGTAACCCCCTCGTCAACCTCAACTTCGCCGTGCTGCTGTACAATCAGGGGGAGAAGAAGGCCGCGCTGGCCCAGTACCAGGAGATGGAGAAGAAGGTCAGCCTGCTCAACAACAGCAGCGCCCTGGAATTTGACCCCGAGGTGCGTCTTTCTAGCTCTGAGAGAAATAGGCAAGCTGGCGGGAGACTGGGCTCGAGCCCGAGAGTGGCAGGAGTGTTACAGCCTTGGCTCTTGGCTTGGACCTTGCCAGCAGCATGCATTCAGTGAATTCAGCCTGAGATGAACTTTCCTGGAAGAAAATAATAACAGGTTTATTACTCATATTACTGAGTTACAGCCACTAATATTACAGCTCATCTGAGTTGACACGTTTCCCTTTGTCAGTTCCTCCCACTTTCTATGTTGGTGTTTTATCTTATAACTTGACTAGACTTGAGTTGTTGCGGTTTGAGATAGTGTGTAACCTCTTGCCATCTTTTCACAGAGTCTGTTCTCTGCTATTTCAGAATGCTTTCCTTGCAAAAAAGTACTTCTGCCTTCAGATTTGGTTTGGTTGAGACAAAATCCCCAAACAGAGCAGTTGGTATCCAGCTGATTCTGACTCGTGGCAATGCTGTGGGCCGTAGAAGTGCCCACTGGGGCTTCTGGGGCTGTGACCCTAGGGGAGGAGACTCCCACATCTTTACCCCACAAGGTGGCTGGTGTGTTCGGGCCTCTGGTTTTTCACTTGTGACTAAGTACTTTAAATACTGCGCCACCATGGCCCTCCATGCCAGGACCAGCAGTCACTGAGCTAAAATCCCTTGACAGAGGTCCAGGAATGGTTGGGTTGGCTCACCTTTGCCTGTCATGCCTGTGACTCTGCTTTTCCTTCTGTGGTGGTGTAAGATGGTGGAGATGGCCCAGAAGTTGGGAGCAGCCCTCCAGGTCGGGGAGGCACTGGTCTGGACTAAACCAGGTAAAGATTCCAAGTGCAAGCACCGGACCACTTCGACCAGCAGACCAGCCAGTTTCCAGCAGCCCCTGGGCTCTAATCAGGCTCTGGGACAGGCAATGTCTTCAGCAGCAGCCTACCGGAAGCTGCCTGCAGGTAGGAGCTGTGCACAGCTCGCTGAACCCTGAACGAGCGAAGGCAGTGGGAGCGCAGAGATTAAAGCTGTGAACGAAGCTTGTGCTTGTCAGACTCAGAATCTCCAATGTAGTGTTGACTGTTGTTGTTGTTGTTATGTGACATCTGTTCTTATGTGCCATCGAGTCATTTGCAACTCATAGCAACCCTATGTACAAGAGTCCTAAACCCTGCTCTGTCCTGACACACTTACCCCCATTGCCCCAGTGACTGAATCAATCCATCTCATCCAGGGTCTTCCTCTTCTGCACTGTCCCTCCACCCTCCCAAGCATGATGTCCCTCTTTAAGGACCAGTCTTTCCTTGTAACATGTTCAAAGTATGTCAGATGAAGCCTCAGAGGAGAGGTGAAATGGGAACTTCTTTAAGGCAAAGCTGTTGTGAGATTTAGATGGGTGTTCAATACACCGAGTTTATAAAGTTTTCAAGTTTAGAAATATAGCATTAGAGGGCATTCTGTTACATAGTCTTGCCTTTGTTTTCTTTGCATTATTATAAATTAGCATGATGTATGGGTTATGAAATATTTATTTCACCGATACTGAGTGCAGATTTAAATATTTCCTTATTTCTTAAGTTATAATCTTCCCTAATGTCTATAAAGTTACACCACAGTCCCACTAGCCTCAGAAATGAGATTTTTTTCCTCAAAATTTAGAAGTAAAAACAGTGCTATCTTCTGGAATTGTGGAGCAGAGTTTTCAAGGTCTTTGTTTCCTTACTAGGTACTGGGGGAACATCACAGCTCACAAAGCCACCATCACTTCCTCTGGAGCCGGATCCCACCATGGCAGCAAGTGCAGCTGAAGCATCAGAGCAAATAAGAGAAAAATAGAGTCGGATGACCCCAGAGTGCAGGGGTTTTTTTTGGCTAGTTGTTTCAGCTAGGTGTCATGTGGCACAGGCAACGTAGAGGCCAGCACCGTCCCTGGAGTCACAGGATTAAAAGAGAACGCAAGGTGTGCTGTGATGATCAGGATCCCGAGGCCTGTGTAGCCCCTGGGAAAACGCCCTGTGGGCACTAGGGAGGTCCCTTAGCATTGGGTATGAGGGTGAGTGTTCTGTGAGGTGTGGGGCTCTCCAGACAGCAGGGTACCGGGGCTGGGTGCTGTCCAAGCGCCGGTCTCTCCTGGAAGAAGGACCCTTCCTTAGTGCAGGGAAGGGCTGAGCCAGACCTTGACTCCCTAGTCCTGGAGTGAGGAAGCCTAGGTAAACTACATTCACCTCTCAAAACACAAAACTTGGATTAATAATCTAGTAGACCAATATGAAAAGGGAAAAAAATGGTGAAAAGCAGCTCTGTAAACTGAGGCCCAGACTGGTAGTATCTCAACTGCCTTTACCCAAAGGAAATCTTCAGGTCCCTATGTTCTGTTCTGAGAGGGGTCAGAGTCTAGAACCAAATCACGTCGGTGTGAAAATAAGTAGGAACCAAGGAATTTAAGAAAAGAGTAAAAAGCTCCTATCATTAAGAAGTTTTTGTCCAAGACAATCAATAATCAATGTTAACCATTGATATTATCAATATACCACCTGTAGTCATTTTACAAATAAAGATTTTTGTTTCATCATCCTTCTTTGAGAGATTGTTGTATGGAAACAGTTGTTTTTCATGTATAAAAATAATATCTTATTTAGGTATTTTAAAAAACCCAACATTTTAAAAAGGAATCTGTGACCACAGTTTTCCCTTACCTGTTTGAAGCCTGGTGTGAAATTGATGGGGGAAGGAACTTAACAGCCAAGTTCCTGCTCCTGGCCCAGTCCCCATTTTGTACTTAAGAGTATCTTTTAAGCCATCATTGAAAGTGGACTAAACCAACAAGGAAGTATCCTCTCACCCCAGTAAGAATAGCAAAATTTAACAGAACAGCAAACATCAAATGCTGGTGAGGTTGTGGAGAAACTGGAACCCTTATTCACTGTTGGTGGGAGTGTAAAATGATGTAACCACTATGGAAGGCTGTATGGCGCTTTCTCAAAAAGTTGAAAATAGAAATACCATTTGACCGAGCAATTCCACTACTGGGAACCATAACTGCCAACCAAGCACCCATGTTTATAGCAAGAAACAACATAAGTGTCCATCAGCAAACGAATGGATAGAGAACTCTGGTATAGTCACACAGTGGAATACTATGCTGCACTGAAAAAAAGGAACTCATGAAATATTATTCAAAGTAGGTGACACTGGAGGACATTATGCTGAGTGAAATATCTCAGTCACAAAAGGACAAATACTGCATAGTGCCACTGTTGTAAAACAGGACTGACATCGGGGTTGAGGGGAGACTAAGAAAGATGGGATAAATAATGTATACTGCATTGAAACAGATGAGGGAGAAAACTGTTTAAAAGGATATGTGATTAGGTATTGTCATGACGGGAGTCCAGAACGAAGGCTGCAGTGCAACAATGAATGAATGGAAATCCAAAGTCTCTGTAAATTTTCATTAAAATTATTAATAAAAAAATAACAGGAAGAAAAAGAAAGTGGACTGACCTATTATCAAATGAAGCTATGTTTGGAGTTCACGATATTAGGACTAGGTCTGTTTTGATGTTGTAATTGAAGCAGCAGCTAACTGAGCAGAAGTGTCTTCAGTCCTTACATCTCAAAAATAAGTAAGTCAGAAGCGACAGGCTGGGCCATGCACCCAGCCTGAGGTCGGCTCAGCAATTGAGAAAACTCACTCTTATGTCTGTGTGGAATAGAGTCCTCCCATTACTAAAACAGGTTTGATACTCCTGTAAGTGAAGTTGGAGAGAAGGAGGGAAATAGAGGAGAAAGTCAAGAGCTAAAATCAACAGAAATTAAAGACTGGTTGGATGCTACAGGTAAGAATAGACTCTTATAACAAGTATTAGAAATTAGGGTAAAGAACAGTCGGGTATGGATGACATCCATTAACACATGAACAGTAAATTTCGGGGGTGAAATCCACATTGGCGGTAGATTCAGAAGTGATTTGCATGATAATTGAAACCATGTATTTGAAAGGAGTCGCCCTAGGAAAGCTTGGAAGATGAAGAGATAAAAGAAAAGCTGTAGAGAAAGAAACAAGACACAAGGAATACTGAGAAGACCTGAGGGAGTCTTGTTCTAGAAGCCAGAGGAGGGGAGGCTCGGGAATGGGAAGGTCAGCCTCACTTCCTCCTCCCAGCAGAGACGTTCTCGTAGAGTCCCATTTTATAAGGGATGAAGCTGAGGCTGGAAGAAGAAATGGATTTTCCAGGGTAAATGACAGGACTAGCGAGGATTTGAACCTCTTTCTGCAGCCCTCGTATTATGTTGTATTTTTTTTTTTTTACTGCAAATACTTTTATTTTTTACAGCATATTCTTCCCATTCAATTTTTTTTCTCATTTATTGTTGCACATTTTCCTCCCTGCCCATCCCTTCCCCCAAGTTTGCTTTTCTCTTTGAAAAGAAAAAAATTATTTCATTGTTATATAATCCCCCTGCCCCCCAGTCCACTTTACCATGGATTTCTTTTTCTGGAATCTTGTCATGAAAATAATACCTAATCATATATTCCTTTTAAACATTTCTCTCCCTCATCTATTTCAATGCATTATACATTATTTATCCCCTCTTTTCTTTGGGGAACCTAAGAAAACTCCATGTCAGTCCCATTTTATAACAGTTTCACAATGCAGTATTTGTCCTTTTGTCACTGAGATAATTCACTCAGCATAATGTCCTCCATGGTCACCCATTTTTGTATAATTCATGAGTTCTTTGTTTCTCAATGCTGCATAGCATTCCATTGTGTGAATGTATCAGAGCTTCTCTATCAATGAGTTTGTTGATTGGCACATGGGTTGTTTCCAACTCTTTGCTATTGTGAACAAAGCCACAATAAATATGGGTGTGCATATATCTGCTTGGGTGGCAGTTATGGGACTTTGGGGTATATTTGGGTCAAATGATATTTCTATTTTCAACTTTTTGAGAAAGTGTAATACAGCCTTCCACAGTGGTTGTTCCATTTTACACTCCCACCAACAGTGAATAAGGGTTCCAGTTTCTCCACAACCTCACCAGCATTTGTCATTTGGTATTGTGTTCTATTCTTAGCTAGTACTCATTAACTAGTGAGGTATCTTCAGTGAAATAGTGATTGATAGCAACAAAAACCCAAGGGTGTGGAGTCTGAAAAGTGAAAGTGGCATTGGACTACTTTTATTTGAAAAACTTCAAAGTAAATGGAAGAAGGTGTTGTTTTTAAAAAAATTAATTTTAATGAAAGTTTACAGAGACTTAGGGTTTCCAGTCATTCATTGTTGCACTTTTCTCCCTCCCTCCTCCCCCATCACTCTTCTCTTTGAAAAGAAAAACTCATTGTTATGTAATCCCTCCCCCCAACTCCACTCCACTATGCAGCCTTCAGTCTGGACTTCTGTAATGACAAGAATACCCATTCAATGTCCCTTTTAAACAGTTCTCTCCCTCATCTGTTTCAATGCAATATTCATCATTCCCCCCCTCCAACCCCGCTTTTCTGTCTTCCCTCAACCCCGATGTCAATCCTGTTTTACAACAGTGGCCCTATGCAATATTTGTCTTTTTTGTGACTGAGATACTTCACTCAGCATGACATCCTCCAGGGTCATCTATTTTGCATATTTCTTGAGTTCCTTGTTTTTCAGTGCTGCATAGTATTCCCTTGTGTGAATATACCAAAGCTTCTCTATCCATTCATTTGTTGATGGGTACTTGGATTGTTTCCAGCTCTTTGCTATTGCTAATAAAGACACAATAAATATGTGTGTGCATATATCTGCTTGGGTGGCAGTTATGGTTTCTTTAGGGTAAATTCCCAGTAGTGGAACTGCTGAGTCAAATGAGTCAAATGGTATTTTTATTTCCAACTTTTTGAGAAAGTGCCTTCAGCCTTCCGTAGTGGTTGCACCATTTTACACTCCCACCAACAATGGATAAGGATTCCACTATCTCCAAAACCTCACCAGCATTTGATGTTTGCTGTTCTGTTAAATGTTGCTATTCTTACTGGGGTGAGATGGTATCTCATAGTTGTTTTGGTAAATGGAAAAAGTTTTTAAGAGCAGGATTCATGGAAAAGAATTCATTATTTCAAGAAAAAAAAATTTGCACTTGGATAAAGAAAGAGTAAGAGGCTGTCTTCAAGTGAAGCATGGAGTAGAAGAGTAGGACCCTGGTTTTTCAACACTCTTTGGAGGCAAGAACATAATGGTACCCAAGGAAAGCAATCAAGAACCAGTACTTCCCATTTTGTTTTAGCACAGATTTTCTTTAACAAAGAATTCCTATAAACTCTACCTCCTAGCGTTTGTTTTGCCTGTTTTCTGTTTGGTGAATAGTGTTGGAAGTCTAAAGTTTGTGAGCCACCACCATACAGTTGATCTCTATTTGCCTGGAACAGTAGAAGAAAGAGACTGTAGGTCTCTTTGTCTCCATCAACTACTTCTTTTGCCATGAAACTAGAAGAAATGGATGGTGCTTAGCTACCATTACTGAATGTTTTGATCAAGACTCCATAGATACTGATCAAAAGGAGGGGAAAACATGGAACAGAACATGAAATTTCTAAGAAAACCAGACTAACTGATTACACTAAGATTAAATCTACTCTCCTGAAATTGTGTGTGTGTGTGTGTGTGTGTGTGTGTGCGCACGCGCGCACCTACTGTTCAGACAGATCTAACTGGCACAGGAGGAGATTGCTCCTCCTCCAGTGGCACATCTGCTGGAGTCAAACGCAGCTTCTTGCCACTAGGCCACCAGAGCTCCTTTCTGAAATAATCTTTAAATCAAAACTGTCCCATGAAGTCATCTGTAAAACAGTTTAA